CAAATACAGCTGCTGCCAGAGCAGTCTGGACCAACACCCCAGCTGTGTAGTCACATTGCCACTAAAGTTCGACCTGGCCTCCCCTCTGTACACATGAAGGGGTGGCCAGGCCATGTTTCAGTGAATGGTGTTGCAACCTGGAGCATAGGGTTACCACGCCACTGAAATTTTGGAGGAGTGGCAGGGTGAAATGATGTGGTGACCTGGCGCACCAGGAGCCTGTTCCTGTACAGCAGAGTGCAGGGGAGCCCACCGAGAACTGGCTCAAGCACCATGTGGTAAGAGAGATGGACACTCCCTAGGTGAGGGAAACCTGGGGTCCCTTCAGGAGGAGGCAGTGGGGAAGGGACCATAATTTGATCATCCTCCCTTGGAAATATCTGAATTGGCACCTCCGTTCAACAGTGCTGTTGGGATAAAGTACTATTCAATATGAGTAGGGACTGGAATCCGTGCCTAAGTGTGTGAAGCCAATTATCCAGAGATTACATTGAACCAAAACCTCTCACGTGCTCCCCCCCCCCGAATCTTGAGGAAGTTCAAACCTAAATCCAAGATTCACCACTCACTCCCATGCGTGGTGGCAGAAATTTTGGATACAAAGCTGTCAAGGTCCATCAAAACTATTTTGCCAGCTTGTAAAAATGATAGGTTCAGTAGTTGTAGCAACCCAGTATTTCACCTGCACCCTATGGCACTGTCACCCTTTAAGATGACCTAGCAATGCTTCTCTTTTTAGCTGCAAGATGATTTTAATGTACGTTCACCCTTCTCCTAACCATCACACATTTATATTAAATCTTGGTGAAGAGCTTAATACTATCACATTTATTTGAATCTAAGCTTGGAAAGGTAAATTGGTACATTATTCCACCCCCCGTACTTGTGCGGTAGATGGAAAGTGTCTGATTAATATTAAACAAACTGACATGGAGAACAGATGTTACAACTTAAAAATGATGGAACAGATTTGAAAATGACACTTTCTATTGAGTGATTTTGAAATAATCCTATTTATACTTTTGTTTTATTTTAAATGGCAACAAATTAGCAGTAGATACTTAATTTCAGTTTTTAATCTTTGAATAACTGAAACACCATTGATACTTTAGTTTAACATTTGCAATTCAAGCTATCAATCCCAAACACAAAACAAAAACCTTGGTCAAAATCCCTTCAGTCATTATTTAGGAAAACTTCCTATTGACTTCCACAGGAGCGTTGCTTGAATAAGGGCAGAGTAAACCCTGCAGGATACCTGTAAGCATAATAGCCTGATTGGAATTGTCTGAGTAAATGCTGCTCATTTCTCAGACAGGTGACTCTAAGCTTACTAATGCAAAGAGATGATAATTCTGAAGTGGAAGTTACCAATACACAACACATATCACCTCTCTTAGCAATTCAAGTTGGAGATATATATCAATATCTTGGAGTTAAGTGCTAGACTGAGCTAGATACGGAAAAAGCAATTTGAGCTTGGCAGGGATAATACTTTTCAGCTTTGTCAGTGAGAGTGAACAGACATATGGTACACTCCTGAGCTCTGGGGAAGGATTTATTATTGCTCAATAGTGTATAATTTTAAGAGGCCAACCTGACATGACAGGTAATGTATCTAGAAACACATTCTGCTTTTATTTGTTGCATATACTGAATATTATTTTTCTTGTTATAGTGTTTAGAGTGGTCAGCTAAGAATCAGTCAGAGCTGCCAATCTAGTATGCTAGGAATTGACTAGTTCTAAAACCACTGAACATCTGCTGTTTGTACAGGCAGCAAGAAGCAGAACTATGATAACCTTAGCTTAGCTATAGTGTACCCATTGTAAAAAATATATTCAACTCCACATTTACAAGAGCAAGATTAGATACAGTTATCCTCAACTGGAGGGGGAAAGGGCAAGGTCTCAAAAACAGAGCAGAGGCCAAGAGAGAGCATTTTTTGCCTGGTTATTTCTCAACATTATGAACAACTAACTCAGATAGCAAAGAAAACACACATTATCTCTGACAGATTTGACAGCAAGCACCCCCAATGCTGCTCAGCCAGTGTCCGTCTGTCATGATCAAGATGGAACACCTCTCAGGATAAAGTCTCCTTATCCATTCAGTCTATAGCCTCTCTGCACAAACTGACAATAAGAGTGCCAATTACTGAGAATTATGATTAGAGCTGGCAGAGCAAATTACAGCCAACAGTTTATTTTCAAATTTCAGCTCTTTGTGTTTATGAATTGTCCAAAAACAGCTTATGAGATTCAAGACTCTTGCCATTATTTTAAAATTATTCCGAGCATAATACTGGCAAGTAACATCTGGGCTGCAGGTTGTACTCAAACAGTTCACTGTAGACACTGAATATACTTAGTTCAGAATGGTTTGGTTAATTTTGATTGAACACATAGGTGACAAGTAGAACTGGTTGAAGTATGGTGTGTGGAAAGTTTTCCTACCTAAAAAATATGACTTTGCAATTGAAACTGAATTTTTGGGGGAGAAAATAATCAATTCTGAGAAACAAATTTCAATTGTTACCACAGGAAGACGTGAAAACAAAAGTGGTTAGATTCACATCAACATTTTGAAATGAAACGAAGATTTTTGTTTTGTTCTGGTCACAAGATATTTCTTTTCTCTGAAGGGACAAATCCAGAATCTGTTTTCTGGTGTGAATACCAGTACTCATTTACAAATGTAAAGTTTGCTCCTGTCAATAACTTCTAATAGATTAAATCCTTTCTGTTTCCATGAATATTCCTGCAAGTAAACTCACTGGCCACTGGGGGGAGCAAACACAGTGGAAGCAGTTTAAGAATGAGTAATCTCAGAATTTTTGGCAGTATTTACCCAGGGCTAGTTTTTTTGTATGTTTCTCCCCACAGAGAATTAGATGAAGACTACTCTCATTTTAAAAAAAAAGTCTATATGACAAACAAGCAACCAAATAACCACCTACCACCTGTAGAAAACCTTTAAAAAATGGTCCTCAGGTGATATTCAGAGCTGTACTTCGCCAAGGAAATGAGATGTTACGTTGTCCAGTATCATGAAAACTATACTTAGACTGCACTCAGTTCTCATTTTCAGAAGGATTGTTTTTGCAAACAAAGGGCCTGCAAAGTTCAGTAAATAAGTATGTACAATAGGGAGAGAGAATAACTCTATTCTTTTTCTCTATAGATGTTCTCAGCATGGAGGGTGGGAAGAGGTGCCTCCCAACCCAAAGTGTTCAGTCTCCATGCTGAAGTCCAACCGCTCAAAAAGTTACATATTATGCACACAAATAACTAACCATTTCCCCAAAAAATCAGAGCGCTAAACAGTGGCCAATGCGTGCACAGAAGGGAGAGAGAGCATGGACTCTGCCTCCCATGGGTGGCCCACGTAATGGACCTCCAGAATCAGAAGTCCCTGCACTCAGGGGAGTGCAGGCGCTGCTAACAAGTTGCTTCCTCTGCCAGCAACAAGACAAAAGTGGAGAAGGCAGAATCATGCCTTTGAAGAGAAGTGGGTTTTTTTACCCACAAAAGCTTATGCCCAAATAAATCTGTTAGTCTTTAAGGTGCCACCAGACTCCTTGTTGTTTTTGTGAATACAGACTAACACGGCTACCCCTCTGATACTTGAAATCATGCCTTTGTTTCTCCACCCCGCAAACCAGGAGAGCTTGTTAGCTATGTGATGGGGGTCTATTAGGCACCGTAATAGGGTGTAGCGAATTATTCCTCTCCCGCAGGGAGCTCCAGGAGCCATTTTGTTCCCCTGGAGTGGTTCAGCTGCACATCAAGCCTTATTACAGGCTCTGCCTACCAGGCATAACTCAGGCCTTAGAATGAAAAGAGGAACACGTAAAATAGCTGCTCATCAGTAAGGGCTTGGTCCAGAGTCCTTGGAACTCAGTGGAAAGACTCACATAGCCTTTAATGGGCTTCGGATAACACCAAAGAAACAAAACCAGCTGTGTTGTCCCTTAATATGATGTGGGAGAAATGGTCTCTCCTCTACTCATTAGTGAATAATCAAATACATTCCCTTGTAATATATCATAAGAACATAAGAATGGCCCTACTGGGTCAGACCAAGGGTCCATCTAGCCCAGTATCCTGTCTTCCGACAGTGGTCAGTGCCAGGTGCCCCAAAGGGAATTAACAGAACAGGTAATCATCAAGTGATCCATCCCCTGTCGTTCATTCCCAGCTTCTGGCAAACAGAGGGTAGGGACACCATCCCTGCCCATCCTGGTTAATAGCCATTGATGGACCTATCCTCCATGAATTTATCTAGCTCTTTTTTGAACCTTGTTCTTATGTTCTTGGCCTTCATAGTATATTTAGTAAACAAAGGGATGCAGAATGAAAGGTACTTAAGTTTTGGTTATTTGTGCCTTGTAGTGTACAGCACATTACTCTGCTCTCCTAAATGAAACTCAGGGATGCGATTATTGCAGAGATTGGTCACAACTACAATGTTGGGATCTGAAGGTCTCCCAAATTTGGGGATGTTTTTGATCCAGGCTATCAGTTTAGGCTCATCCCCTTATCACTACTGTGAATTTTGCTGACATTGCTCTCGCTACTCTTCCCCTTCTTTTAAAATTAAATTTTCATTCTGAAGAACTCAAAGTGTACCACAGAACTGATGCAGCTGGTTTGGTAGGCGAGGACAATAGGGCACAGAAGTTGTTAAATATGTCATTGTTTTTAAGAAGCAGTAAATCTCCAGCCGAAAGCAAAAAACACTAAGGGGACACTACAGAAGAAATTAAGGGGAAGATTTTCATATGCATAAAGGGCAGTCAGTCACTGTCTTTTGTGTCTTTGAAAAATCTCCCCCTAAAACACTGTTTACAGTAAGTTGAAATATTTTTATATTTATATTTTTCTATAAGATCTTTAGCAGATTGAAAAATTCATGGGTAAAGCCATTTTCATTGGAAAGATTATATCTGAGCTTAGAAAATCTTACATACAATTTTAACTTAAGAAATTTCATTTTACCCGAAGATTGTTGGTTTCTTTAAGATTTAAGGTTGGCTTATGGACTCTGAATTTATTTGTACCATTCATGTAGGACTTTGAGCTCTGAAAAAGAATTTTAAAAAGCACTACCTTAAAGAAGTCACTGATGCTAGAAGTAGGGTTAGACCCTACTTTTACATACCAAAGATCTATGTTCATCACACCTCAGATGCAAAGCTAAATGGAAAAACTTATGGTTTGATGACTGTACATTCTAGTTATTTTAAATTCAGGTGGAGTTCTGTGAATCTTGCAAAATGTGAAAGAGAAGGCACTTTTATATATTCTCATTTCAAATTGTGCGGTACACAGGAGCGGCACAGGAAATTCAGATTTTGAGCTCATTCTACTTAATGGCTTCGACATTTTTCACTATAAAATCCACATTTTGTAACAATACTTTAATCACAATTAGACTTCCTAAACTGATCCATTTATTTCAGAGGCTGCTATTAAGGAACAATTTCTCTCCTCCTCCCTCCCCATTGAAGATAAAGGTTTCTCACATTCTCATATAAAATATTCATTCTAGCTGTCTGAGCCCAGGAAGGGGGCACCACAGTTATAGTTGTGGTCTTTGGGGTCTTCCCCCCCCCCCCGAGGATCTGATCCTATCTATCCTCTGTGGGCTCCCCAGGCCCCCAACTGGAACAGATCTAAATAGTTGCTTTCCTGTAAATATAGCCATTCATTTGCATGCACAGTTGCACATCAGTGCATGCTGAAATTGCATTCTTTGAAATATGTCACCATATGACACTTTATCTAAAAAGATTTGCCATTGATATGAAGTGTGTGGGTTGGGTAGCTTACATGTAAACCTTAAATGTATATTCACCACCAGGTAGAGAGAACATGGGGCTGTGTTCAGTTGCGTATAACATTAGAGCAGGGGTCGGCAATGTTTGGCATGCGGCTCGCCAGGGTAAGCACCCTGGCGGGCTGGGCCAGTTTATTTACCTGCTGACGCGGCAGGTTTGGCCGATCGCGGCCCCCACTGGCCGCGGGTTCCTGCCGCCCCCATTGGCCCGGGACGGCGAACCGCGGCCAGTGGGGG